CCTGTTGCCTACTGGTGGTGGTCAGAGGGCCCGGTGGCGCCAGTGTCCGGCAGCCTCGCCTCTGTCAGTGCGCCCCAGGGTGGCTGTGGTTACAATGTAGCTGCCATCACCAGTGTGTGAATGTGTGTGTGAATGGGTGGGTGACTGGATATGTAAAGCGCTTTGGGGTCCTTAGGGACTAGTAAAGCGCTATATAAATACAGGCCATTTACCATTTATATAAAATGTTCTTCCTCTACACCCCCCCCCAAGTTTTGCACATGTCGAGGAGCGTGTCAGGCTACATTTCACTGTGTGTTATACTTGTATAACTATGCATGTGACAAATAATAAAGAACCTTGAACCTTGGCATCAGCTGTCTTCACCCCACTGCCCAGCAAACGGACACAGCGCTCTCTCCCACAGAGTGATAGATATGCAATATGTTATGATTTTAATTGTCTTTGCTTGTCCTTATCTTTTCAAACACTTAAGAAATAAAAATGTTGTAAACTGCATTTCCTGCTATGATTAAGGAGCACAAAAAAACCTGGTGGCTGACATCTATTGTCGCTCAGTCATAGACGTGAAAATCTCTCACGTTGTTATTACCTTCTATGTCACATGACGTGGATTTTGCAAAGTTAAGCTGACTGCCCTCTGCCTCTGTTGTTGAGAAGATTGAACATAATCACTCTTCTTATCAAAATGTTGGCAATAAACCAAGTAAGTGTCTTTGTCGAGATGTCAAACGACTTTTTCGGGAACAGTCAGCCGTGCTTGCGGGTAAACATTATGTTAAGGGAAAGATGGAGGGCTGACTATTGGAGAGGTGGTGTGAAACAACATAAATACGCCAGTCTAAAGCCAACAAAGCCTTTTGTTCTTTAAGTGTTTGCGGTGGAGAAAAAAAATAGCATCACACTTTGATTCCAGTGATTTGGGGTCTGGATGTCATTTACATTGAGCTGCTGTCACTATATTTGCGATAGAAGTTAAAGTCAGCGTATGCACACACCCCGGAGTTCACACATTGGCTCGCCCCTGGGGTAGAGCCGGGCTGTTGATCTGGCTGCCTGCCACTGTTGCCATGATCAACATCGGCTGCAGTTTGTACCGCTGTTGTCATGGTAATGACCATTTATTTGCAGGGGGCACTCTAGTCTCCAATATTTCCGGGAAACACAAAGACAGAGAAAGTGAAGGTGAGACAAAGAGAGAATGGGAGTAGCCAGACAGACAATCTGTTCAAAGGGCAGGTAGATAAATCAGTGTCATATCGCTCATATTCATCTGTGGACCAACAGCAACACTAACAAACAGGCCTAGAAAATTTACTCATCATCAGTACCACTGAATCTTTTTTTAATATATTTAATAAGACAAACCAAACTTGATGGGTCAGTACCAAATTTACCGCATAAATGTGTGAATTGAACAAACATGCTGAAGAGCATCATTGATGTTAAAATGTAAAGCCTGTTGGTCCTGGCCAAGCATCAGCATGTGTCCAGTTAGGATGGACAGTTAATGACAGTTAGCTGTTTTTTAAATACCATGGCTGCAAAAATAGGCCGGTTTCTCAGCAGTCTGAGGGAACATTGTCTTCAGCTCTCTAAACGTATGACCTCAGTAAACACTTTACTGGTGAGTGCTCAGTTGCAAGTTTGGGGTTGTAACTAAGATGAATGTTGTAAATTATGGCACGGTATGGTTTAAAGTGGGAGCTCCTTATGATTGACAAGTCACTTCTTTATAGTTGTACAGTGTCCCCTGGTTTCACTGTGAAAACCCTCAGATCAAGGTTTTAAAAACTGGACCTCACAAACTAATAGGTAATTTGCCATCTTTTGTTTACAGTATATGCAGGAACTAAAACTGAAAAAGACTGAATGTCACATCCTTACAATTGTTTGAGTGGCACTGCCACTCAGTTTGATAGATTTATGTCTATTTCCTATACTGCAAAGATTCTCTGATAATAATAAGTCGAAATTTAAAATGAAGTTTGTTAACATGCAGCTGTGCATAAGGCTACACGTCTATATTAGACTAAGACTGATCTCGATGTCAGTCATTTGGAGCAACTCTGCTCAAAAGTCTTATGAACACGACTGGGTAAGTTAACTTTTAGGGGGCCTTAGCTCCCTAAATAATCAACGTATTATCCCATATCATATTCAATCCTTTTCATCTTTGCAAACCTCAGTTTAACAGTATACAAATTAAGGTGTTACCTTTAAACGCAGCCTAAGACATTGTAGAGTCTAAGAACGACTGAAAGAGCCCAGTTTTCAGTATCATACACTGGCTTTAGAGTTGTGCTAACTTCATTTTTTAAACCTGAGGCAAAGGTTTAGCTGAGCTGACCAGAAGTTTTCAAAGAAGGTCAAATAAAAAATATGTTGTAAATCAGATCAGTGGAGAAACGTGCTCAGCGTTGTTTCAGTCTCACAACCACATAAAGTCAGTCCATTTTACTTTATGCAGTTTAAGTAGCTTTATTTAGTACAGACATAAACACTGCATCACACTGCACTTCAGCCATCAGCAGCCATCCTGTTCGAGCTGTGTGACATAGATTCTGTTCAATTCTTCCATTGGTATGAATAAGTTCTTTTACAAAGTGAATATTTTCTATTTTCTCACCTGTTTCTCTTTTTGCTCTTTCTCCTTTAGCTGTGTCGCTCCTTTCCCCCGCTCTCTCTGCTGTCTCTAAAGATAAACGTTAGAGATGGACCGATCCGATATTACGTATCGGTATCGGTCCGATACTGACCTAAATTACTGGATCGGATATCAGAGAAAAATAAAAAATGTAATCCGATCCATTAAATATCACGAAAGCACCTCACAAAACTTGCAACATGCGGTAACTCACCTCAGAACGTTAGCACGTCGGAGCAGTATGCATCACGTGATAGAGCGGCTGTGGCATGCAGGACCTGTCGGTGGTCTGGATAGCATTTGGAGCTTCGCTAGCAACCGGCATTTCATCTCCGACAAAGTTATCCCGAGAGAAGTAAAGCAAGTGTGTAAGTCCATCTCTGAATGTTTGTAAAGCATTCCTGCGTTAAGCTTAACAACTGATATATGGAGCGACTGCCTCTTCTTGCTGCTACTTCAATCATGAAACTGCTTAACGATCAGCTGATCAGCTTTTCTGTCTCTAGTTTGCGTTTGGCCCACTTTGCACCAGAAAGAGGAAACCAGTGGCTGAACAACAGCAGCACGTTTAAGCTTGATAAGCTGTTGTTAGAATTTATTTATTATTACTTTCTACTCGAGGATCTTTTTCTATGTAGCTGACGGCTGGTAACTGTGCAGGGGCGGATCTAGCAAAGTTTAGCCAGGGGGGCCGATAGGGCATGAACAGGGAAAAGGGGGCACAAAGACATACTTTTCTTTCTTATTCTCATTTAAAATGTCTAGCTTTTAATAAATAATTATCTGACACCCAAAGTTTTAATTTGATGTAAAATGAATAGAAGTCAATTATTGTATATAGTAACTATTAAGTCTAATATATACACCCTAGTAAGCTATAGTAGTTTTTCCTTTGGGAAGGTACCATCTGTGCAGTCTGCAATTTTGTTGAAGAAAGATGTTGAATCTATTTAATATTTCTTGAAAAATAATTGATTTCTGTGCATTTTTTTTCACACGGCATCAAATTAAGGTTGATTACGTCGATTAAGCATCATGAGGTGGAGCGTGAGGGGTGGTTCCCTATTTTTTATTTATTTATTTTTGTTGTTGCTGGGAGTTGGAACCCTATTAGTTAGGTTGCTTAATATTTATGCCAAGTACTCTTTAAAATACCAGAATAGGGAGGATGGTGTAGGTCTAAGTTTATTAGATTGATCAGTATTGCTGAACTATGAAATATTTTTTTTGCATACAGGTATAACAGAATAGCTTTAGTGTAGTTGTTGTTTTAAACTTGAGTATGAACTTATACAAAATGCAGCAAGATATTTAAAAAACAGTTTTGTTGATTAAAACACACTATATCGGATTCATATCGGTATCGGCAGATATCCAAATTTATGATATCGGTATCGGACATAAAAAAGTGGTATGGTGCCATCTCTAATAAACGTTACAGTGAAACTGAATTTACAACCCAACAAAACACTGACTGTTTCTCTTTAATGACTTTATCACAATATTCTAATGGTATAAGGGCTGCTGCTGGACACTGTAACATCCTTTTAACTTGTACTTTTAACAAGCAATGAAGTCAAACTCAACCACGGCAATGACCCTGTGTTATCAGACTTTTCATTTGCTAATGTTTTCCATGGAATTATCTCTTCGTCTTCTTTCTACCACAAGGACACCCTTATTTGTTAATGATAAGCCACGCTGTTGAAGCACACAGCAACTTCGTGTTGTGTGAATGCACCCTGACATCAGGAAACTTGTTTTTGTTATAACCTCTTCTGGTTCCAGTCAACTCGTTACAAAATCCAACATTAAAAAATAGTTATTATTATAACTATTCTAACTATTACGATGGTTACTTTTGGGCCACTATCATGCTTGAAAAAAAGAGTGTAAACTCCTCAATGGGCTCTTACATTGTGCTATGTATGATATTTTAATAATACCCTGGTGATATGTAGTGTCAGGGGGGTTGCTTCATCTTTTATAAAGAAATTCAGATCCTTTAATACCTGATTTCTTTTCATGAGCTCCATAGAAAACCTCCAGCTTTTGCCAGGCTTTAATGAAGATGTTTTATTAAACGGCGAGAGGCTTCAGTGTAACCTCCTCTGCTGATAATGAAATATCTGAATCCTTTTTAAAATGACGGTACACGCAGTGTGGGGATGATTCCTGCTCTGGATGCAGAAATGACTGCCGTCCACAGACACACATCCACTTGTCTTGAAGGAAGGCACTTTCTTGGTGTCCCTATAATACACGGCCCCCCGTCGCCCTTCCCACCACCTCCTCTCTCACTCCCCTGTTTCCCTGTCAGGCAGGGAGACGTGCCGCACGGAGCCGCGCCGAGTGTCTGTCGCCTCATATTGAATTTCAGCGCGACAGCAGTCGGCTTTCTCTCCAGAAGATCGGGTTTAAAGATCGTTCGCTGCCTCTCGCTCTCCTCTCTCTCTCAACGCTCTCTCCTTCTCCCCATCGCTACTTGCCCCCTCTCTCCTCCCGTCCACAGACCCGCACTTGGGCTGGAAGTTTCCCCAGAGCAGAGCCGCTCCACCGTCCTCGGTGCGCCCGGAGAGTCGGAGAAATGAAGCTTCACTAAGAGAAGAAAGAAGAGAGGAAGGGGCTAACAAGGCGAAAGGAATAAATCATTGAGAAGAGTCACCACCGAAGACGTCCAAGGTAAAAATGTGGCTTTTAAACGTTTATTTATTTATCACTTTTTACAGTAAACAGAACCCTGCAGTAGCTTCTGACTGAGCTGTACACAGCACATGGACTTTTTTAAAAGTCTTGCAACAGAGTTTGTGGAGCATCTCCTCATATGCTGAATGTTACAGTTATGTGTGTTAAGTCAGCGGGACTTAGAGCTGTGCATGATGTTGGTTAATCTAACCTACTTAAAGACGTTTCAGCGCCACCTTTCTTTAACAACAACTTTATCAGTGGCTAACAGGTCAGGCACATTTGTTATATTATTATATAATATAGCTAATAGCTCTTGGCTATTAGAATAAAAAAAAAACAGCAGCTGATAATTGGCTGTTTTATTATAATAATAGCAACATACATACATATACATACTACAAATTAAAATGTAAAAATTACACTGAAACAGTAACTCTTTATTAAACTCCCATATGAAATGTTATACATGATGAAAACTGAAGCTACGTTTTTCACAGCAGACATTCTGACTTGTCAAACACACTTACAGCAAATAGCATCACTAACTGCTACACCAGGCTGCAGTAATTGCTGGAACATCTTAATTGCCTTTCTGACCACCTCTTGCTTTTCCTGCTATCACAGGTCACAATGAAGAGGCAGGCTAGAGAAATAAGAGAACTATTACAGTGCAATTTAACTTGTGTTGTACCTGCTGCAGGTGTTTGTTGTTGTTTTTTGCACAGTTAATGTAGTGATTGGATTGCAGAATATTTCACACGAGGGTGTGGAGAATTTCTTTGGGAATGGCTGTGATAAACCTGCAGCATCACAGGTCATAGATATTTCACTTTGTCATAAGCCAGAAGCTACAACTTGTAATTTGTAAACACAAGTCTTAATACAAAAAACGAGGTAGCAAATGTGTATTAGTTTATCAATTAGAAAATCAATGAATCCGAAACAATAAGATCAAAATGGACTGATTCACTCGTCTCACATATTCTGATATTTTCTTCCTGTCCCAGGTATTTGTGATAGTAAACTGAATATCCTTACATGTATGATGAACGAGGCAAAAATAATTTTAGACTAAACAAGACAACTATATTGGGCATTATTTAATTTTGACCATGATGGGCAGGCAAATGTCCTACCACTTGGGCGGTGGGGGTAAGGGGTGGGGCAAAGCACTGATAAATGTTTTCATAACCACTAAGTTTATATTTCCTGGAATATGTCTTATTGTGTAGTGCCACTGCTAAGACAGTTTCTCCAATAGTAGTTTTTCCCTTGTTCCCAGGAGCATGTGTGTGATAGTGCTAATTTTTATAAGAATGGCTGTCTAATAGTTTTTTCAGCCATGAAAATTCTTTCTGCGCCAAAGTAGCTGCAACACTAAAGGGAATGTAGGTCATGTGCAGTAGCTCCAGCTTCTATTAGTATAGGCATTGTACCTTTAAAGTGACTATATTAGCAGTTATGTAGCACCTGGAGACCATGAGATGTTGATGACGCTTCGGGTGACGACATAATGACATCCGTACTATCCGTACGTCATTACCATGGCTACCAGTACACATGAGGACACGGTTTAGTGACAGGATAGTAAATACATTAGATTTCATTTTAGATTGCTGCTGTATCCGGAGCTGATGCTTTTTATTTCAAAAACAGTCCAACCAAAAAGTTGTGGGCAACCCTTAAGCAGCCCACTAGTTCCTGCAGTGGAAAATAGTCTTTTGACTCACAGCTGAGTGTGTTCATTTCCCTGTAACTGACAAAGAGCCAAATTGAGCTTGAAATGTTGTTGGGTTCATTTTCTTTTTGAAGGAGGCATTTTAAAATGGAAAGGGTTTTCTGATGTGCCATTTGTACTTTTTTGTTAGATTGATTGTGTGATTGATTTATTTTCAACAAAACGCTTTAAAAATCCATTAGAAAAATGTTTAAAATTGTCCAATAGTTGGGCAGTTTTTAAGATTTTTAGGCATCACTCTTAGTTTTCTCCATTATGACTAGATTTACTTATTGCTCCATTTTATATCATGTGTGACCTGCCAATACATTGTTTTTCTTTCTAAGAATTATAACCTGCAAAAATAAAGTTTCCTTAATCAGATCTCATGAAATTACAGAAAATATGTTGGAAAAAGGTCATTAATTTGCACTAAATATGCATTTAAATTAGCCAGGATTTAATCACGTTTGTTTAGTGATTGGTTTTGTTTGCAACAAAAAAGCCAAAAAATCTGTTAAAAGTATCAAATCACAATTCTTTGAATGTGGGTAGACTTCCTGTCCTGACATAAATGCATTAGGAGAAACAGTGATGTTACCGGAGAGATCACCTATTTCATTCTTGAATTCCTTTTATCCATTTTTTTAAGTTCTTAGAAACCTCCTCCAGAAAACTTTTTATATATACACTTATATTCGGTGGCATTATCTACACTTTGCTAGCAGCTGTGTCAAATTTTCAAGTATATTTTTGCATATTATTTATCTTTTTTTTGCATATTATTTATTTCCTCTTTACTAAAAAACTTGATGCGACTGACTGTGAGGTAGCAGAAGAAAGCTTTTTTCCCTCTGGGTGGGCATTCCATAAAAAAGCAGCTTTTGGCTGCTCTTTTATTCACGAGGAGTTACCACAGTGCAGAGTGGCACGTTTGACTTGGCAGACTTTTTACACCAGATGCCCATCCTGACACAGCTCTCCCAGGGATTTGTGTACCCTCCTGTTCTTAAACCAGGGATTTTTTTCTTTGCATGTTAGGCACACTGAGTGGGAATTTCATCCTCCAAGTTAATCCAGCTTTAGTTTGACAATTTTTAACAATAAATGGTACTACACAATATCTGCAGAAACAGTTTAAGGACTGGGGAACATTTCAAAGTTTCATTCTTTTAAAATTCTTAAAAAAATCTCAGCCAGATAGGCATTTTTTTTTCAGAAATAAGGATTCACGTTACTTGTGTGCTGTTAAAGGAAGCTGTGCCAGGATTTCATGAAACCATATCATTTAAGTCCCCCTGTATCTCTCATAAGTGACTTCCAATCTGAGCAACCAAGGTTTGGCATTTACTGTTGGCTAATTTACCTAAATGTCAGGTGTAAGCATATAGGTGGGTGGACCGCCTCATTTACCTAGAGATGTTTAATTAATGTGTGACGGTTGTACTGCTTGCACCTGCTGCCTTCTTTCTGTGCTACAGTATGTATTTCAGGCATCATGCCACAGGTTTTTGAAAAGGAATATTAATTTCTGTAGCTTTCAATTTCCTCCCACAGCCTGTTTTTGTTTCCTGGACACAAGAGAAACCGATCCATGCTCAGATCCACTACTTAGATCACTGATCTGAAAAGGCTTGTTGGTTCTCTTAGATGTTGTCAGTGGTCTGAAAAGTCTTTCTTCAGCTCTATTCTTGTCTTCTATTTTATGTCATACAATTAGAAATTACAAATTTAAAGGTCTGTTTCAAGAGTAACTGTATATTAAAAGTTACATACACTGTATTTTCCACACTATAAGGCGCACTTAAAATCCTTTAATTTTCTCAAAAATCGTCAGTGCGCCTTATGTATGAATTTTGGTTGTGCTCAGTGTTGCCAACTCCTCAGTAAGGAAAATTGCTATTGGCTGTCCTAAAAGTCGCTAGAAATTTCTTTTAGTAATTATTGTTTTTTAATGTCACAATTCCAACCCTGCTCCTTTATCTGGGCTTGGACTGGCAAAAGTGACCCGAAATAGGCACTCTGGTGAGGTTACTTTGTGTGTGTGTGTGTTTATAAGTAGTTTTAAACCTTGTGATCCACAAAACAGCATAACAGTAAAAGAAGAACTGACTGCGTTACAGTCAGTGCGGGAGCAGCAGCTTCGCTCATGTGCCATTCATTTGCAGTTTGGACGCATAGGGGTGAACGTCTCCTGCCCTGATAGCAGCTGGGGGAGGACTATCCTCCGCCCGTGAGTGCTTTGGCACGGGTGAGGTGCCCACCGCAGCACCGCTGCTTGTTGAGAGTAAGAGCGATAGGCGTTTTCACGTCAAAAAGTCGTCATAAATAAGTCTCCAATAACACCAGAAAAAGTCGCCAGATTTGTCGCTAGTCGCTTTTTAGAAAAAAGGTTGCTAAGGGGCTCTGAAAACTCACTAAATATAGCGACAAAGTCGCTAAATTGGCAACACTGGTTGTGCTTACTGACCTCGAACCAATTTTATGTGGTACACGGCGCTCACAAATCTGTCAAAAATGTTTTAGCCCGACTTTGGTAAGCTACGAAGCTGCACTGCTTGATGAATTGTCAGAGCATTACGGCTACCGTAGTCAGGAGCCTTGCTGAGTAATCTGGGTCCAAAACTCCATCTCCTTCAGGTCCCAAAGTCAAATGATCACTGCGGCATCACTGAGAGCTAAAAACAAAAAAAATGATCGATGTTGCTGCTTTACCAGGTGCAACAATTAAGTTTAACATCCAGGCATCCATGAAAACAGAATTTATTACATTTAACAGAGTTAGAAGTTAGCAGGAAGTTAGCTCGCTAGCTTCCACCGAAACATGATATAGCATGTACTGACAGAGATTTCTGAAAAAAACGTACAGCTCTGCTATCACTTCCAACATAAATGACTCCAGATCATTACAGACTACAGGACCACCAAACCCTCCCCCTGCATCCTCTGATGTCTCCTTCCTCAACGAGCTCAACAACCTTTATGCTCGTTTTGAGCGAGGGAACCCCACAACCACAACCAAAGCAGACGTGACGCCAGACCACCAACCTCTGACTCTCTCCCCCACCGATGTAAGAGCGGTGCTGAGCAGGATCAATGTCCACAAGGCTGCAGGTCCTGATGGCATCCCCGGGCGTGTTCTCAGAGCGTGTTCTGGGGAGCTTGCAGGAGTGCTCACAGACATATTCAATCTGTCCTTGGCCCACGCTGTGGTACTGGCCTGCTTCAAATCCACCTCCATCGTCCTGATGCCCAAAAACTCCAACCCATCTTGCCT